GGCCACACACACGTATGGCTGCAGTTTTTTACAAACTCCCTCATCAACCAGCTCCAGAGGGGGGGGGGGTACTAGTTCTCATGACAGTATTAGTAAACTTAACCAGTTAAAGGAAAGAATAAAAACTCCCTGAGTCCATTTCCAGGGAACTTGAAAACTCCGCTTACTCACAGTTAAAGGGCAGAATCTGGGCTCTAACAGACGGCAATTGGAGTCGTTTTGGATAAACGATGAGATATTTTCCATATTTATTTATTTATATCAAATGGCAGGCGTTTTGATAGTTATCATTAGCCCTTTAGTTGACTTCAGGCTTCACATAGGGGAAGGAACAACAAAGTGAAAAAGGTCGAGATGGGGGGGGGGACAGAAGAGTGTTTCAAAGATGTAAAAGAGACAGGCACAAAGTTGGAAAAAAGGTGAGGTGAGTACGGTTGAAGTAGTCGAATTTGACATACAGTGGGGTGAAGGTAGTTTGGAGTCTGAAGTCAACTGCCAGTTAATAGACTTTTTTGCCGTATGAGTATACGTTGCCCAGAGTGCACCACGTGGAAGTAAGTCTATCTGTTGTTTTTTTGCTTAAATCTACTAAAGTTTGTATTCACCAATTGCTTTTTTATTTTGCTTCATGAGGTTACTTTATCTCGAATTCTTACGACATGCCTTACTCCCATTTCACTGTTTCAAACTATTGTGCTTGATTCTCTCTCATACACATGATTTTCACTTCACCTGCCATACATTGTCAACTGAATTGCATGAAAATCACTGTTAGAGAACACGTTGATCTTGCTTTAACTATGGCAATTCTCTCGATTCACTCTTGTGGGTTGTAATTAATTAATCCATTTCCCTATATTATGCATTGCGAGGTTAGTTTTCCGTTGTTCTTTTTCTGCGTAAATGAGGTTTGTCGAAGAAAAATTCGCATCTCTATCAACTGCCTCCAATAAACTTCAAAATATTTATAAAAAAACGGGATCGATGTAAATAGAGTGGGGGGGGGGGGGGGGGGTTGGAGGGTGGGATTGAGTAAACGTGATCGTAGATAAACACTTGAATAATTAGTTTATTTTAAATGTCAGGCGTTTTGATAGTTATCATTAGACCTTTAGCCGACTTCAGGTTTCACAGAGAGGAGGGGGAGCACCAAAGTGAAAAAATTCGAGAGGGGGGCCGAATAATGATTTACAGTGTTGAAAGAGACAGACTGACTGACACAAAAGCTGAGTAAAGGTGAGGTGAGTACTGTGAAGTTGTCGAATATGACGTACAGTGGGGTGATGGTGGTTTGAAGTCAGAAGTCAACTGCCGGTTTATAGACTTTTTTGCCCAGGGTGCGCCACGTGGAGGTGAGTCTATCGAAAACCCCACACTTGAATAATATAAATGTTAGTGTAATTAATAAGGCAATTCACCTCACAGCTCACCTTAGTAGAAGTGACTTTGTTGGTTATAAATCGGAGTGGAAACATCTAACTCAACCTCATTACTAAAGAATGACATAACGCAAATGAACTAGTTAATTAACCAACACGCAGTACCTCAACTAACGCAGTAATCAGTGTCTATCACAGTTTGAGATAATATTTGGGACAAAAATTGGCACTAAGTTATTCAAGGAATTTATTGGCAAAGTTTCAATAGCGCAAATGGTTGTTCTCTTGAAATTGTTGCAGTTATTTCTTCCATTTTCCAACTCATGATAGCGTGATACTGTTAGTCGAAGACGCACGAGATTACGGAAGCGATTTGGTAAAAGCAACCATAATAAAATACGCTATAAGTAATGTGAGTAAAGTAATGTGTAATATTAAAAATTAAATCAGCAAAACTGCGACGGATTCAATTTAAGGGTGTGCTAATTTGATTACAAATTGCAACAACAAAAAAAAATCAGTACTGGAGCCAAGTCGCTTTGAGGTGGTATAATGCTTAGGAAAAAAGATGATATGAGTACTGTGGTTGGGTGTCGAATATGACATACAGTGGGGGTGACGGTAGCTTGAAGTGAGAAGTCAACTGCCGGTTAATAGACTCTTTTGCCGTATGAGTATACGTTGCCCAGGATGCACCACGAGGAGGTAAGTCTTTGTGTCTAACTCTTTAATATCTGTGAGTCACTTTTCTAACCCCCCCCCCCTCCCGAATTTTTCTCACTTTGATGTTCCTCCTCCTCTCTGTGGAGCCCGAAGTCAACTAAGGGGCTAATGATAACCATCAAAACGCCTGCCATATGTTATAAATAAATATGATTAGAAAAAAACGATTTATTCGCTTAAATGCAAAGAAAGGAACTAGTAAAAGATTAGTTGATCCCACCGATGATAATTTAAATTCTGAACTGAACAGTAAATTATTAGTCGAAATTCAATCGATCTATTTATACAATCACTTGTTGCAAATATGACCGCATATTCTTTTTTATTATAAATGTACATTAATAATCCAGCGGCTCACTTTTCCTCAAAACTTTATCTCTTTATTCGGTATGGCCTTGGAGATCGTACTTACCCCATACCAATTAAAAGTGCATTTGCGACACCAAGACTCAAATTTTTGAACAAAATTTCTGTCACGCAGGCGATTCTCCGCATACATTCCTCTCCCATAGGAGGTACGCACACGAGTATGTATTTGAGTCATTTCTTTGATGCTCTACTCAAAGTGACGCGCACTCGTCGATTTGCTCCGCATACAGTTTTCACGACCCTGTATACACAGACGTGAAGGAACTGAGAATCTACTCATCAAAAGTCAGTGGAACACGCACATTCATGGGGCGATATTTCCCATGTCCAATTGGTGGTGTGTTGCCAAGGTGAGCGGTTTGCGGTAAGGGAACTTCTGATGTGTTCCATGGGCATTCATAAGCCTGCTTTGTTATTGAAACTAGATAGTCCGAGGAGACCATACTGAAACTATTACTTTAGTATTGAGGCGCTAGCTTGTAATTTGCCAGTTTGCAAATGAACATCTCTCTTCAGCTGGTGTAAGTTTCCACATTACGAGAATTTTTCGGTTATCGCCTTTTTCAATGTCCTGAATCAGCATTACCAAAACTGAAATGTCGTCTATTTCTCAAAAGAAACACTAACATCAGATGCCAGTTTCAGTCATCATCCTTCTTCGCGAGACAAGATAGAGCCCGTTTACCAGTAAGACTTTTTGCCATATCTTGAAAGGAAGCCAGCTCAGCATCCTCACAGATACGACATAATAAATACTACATCATTCTACAAAGGAAACGCGCCACGAAGGATATCAATACAAATGATTTACATCTCCAATGTTCATCTATACTTACTTATATACCAAAATAAATTGCGACGTTTCGGCTGGCTAATCGGGCGCTTTTGCTTCCATTCATACCGCAGAGAACCTTAAACCGATTTCGTAGATAATCGCGCTCATGCACTCCTTTAAAAAACAGGCTGACCACGAACATTTATTTAGAAAATAAAGCAGCACACGGCATTGTAATCGCATATAGGCCAAACACCGTTAAATTTGTCAAACTAGAAAGATTCACACACATTTGAGTTCTACTCTCTTCTATTCTTCCGCTTGATGACCGTTTTCGGCAAACCCACGTAGAAATGGTAGTCCCTCTCCACCCAACAAAGCCAATCACACCCTAATTTGTATCGACGAGCCAGTTTGGTACCCAACTGTATATGGCTGGACTAAGCTTTTCCATTATTTAGTCATATCTACAAAGACAAACTGAGCAGTAGGGAAATACTAAGTGCCAACAATGGAACCTCATAGAAGACACCCATAGTGATGAGTTGTTATGTTTAGAAGACATTCCCATAAAAGTACAAGAGGTACCAAATTTAACGTCATCCAATCATATTTCATCTCACTTTAGACTAAAGTTGCTTCTCACAATAGCGCAAGCCTTTGTTGGGCCATTGATAATAAATTCGTCCAACACAGTCGCACACATGTATTTTAAGGAGTGATAACAGCAGAGTCACAGCAAACTTGCGGAAAATAGCACCAAGAAAACGATTTGCACTTATTACAACTTTCAAAATAACTGTAATTTAGGATAGAGAGGTTTTGGTTTTAAGATAGATGGAAGTAGGCATTTCAGAACCCATATAGAAACGACACTTACACCAATAAGGGTGATTTATATAAGAATATGGCTAAAATAAATAAAGCCAACACCGTACAAAATGAAGGGCCGATGAACTGTATGAGCACTAGATAATGTTAAATAGCTAACGCAAATAAACCTAGACATGAAGATAACATTCTCAATGTAAAAAACCAGTATTGATTGAAATAGTGAAAGAACGATATAATGGCTAACGAAATGTCGCCATTATAGACTAAAATAATGCACAGGAGTGTCACTGGAACTTAGAAATATGTAAAAATCGCATGAACGCGCTGAATAAAACTAGCAACAGTAGTTTGTAAGATACTCTGAGGCAAATAGGTGGGAAAGCCGATTAAAATGTGCATGACTAACGTCGCACACTTAAAAGATGAGCACTGATGTATACGCAACGCGCGAGTGTATGAATTTGCAACATAAATAGATCAATCAAAGAACTTGCATAGCACGTAACTACCAAACTAATGGGGACAAAATTAAAAACCTTGTTTGGTCGTCAAACAGGAACATATTTGAAAAGTGCTTTAACTACCTTGGAGCAGATGCGGAAAACTAAGTGAAAAATTTTAGCAGAGAAGATAAGGCAGAGCGTTAGGAAGGGATAAAATCTTGACATTTAAAGTAAGCTAAAAGATAAATGACAACAATCAATTTAGAAACTAGCTGAAACATTAATACTTGCCGAACCCCAAACAATGCGGCTTTGTTCCAAAAAAGAAGTAAGAAATTTACTTTAATCACTTCGCTTTATTAGAAATGAATGGTTAACAGATTTACAAAGTTCATGACACCCTCAACAAATATTAACTAAATTTATATATATATACAAATGACAAAAGCATTACATCTAATCATCTTCCGCACCTTCTGGGGGTCTGCGAGCGGCACTAAAAGGTGAAACAGTTCTTTTTGGTATCTTGTGATGAGATCGCTCACCATGTCGGCCACGTTCACGACCACGCTCGTGGCGTTTTCGTGAGTGAGATCGAGATCTGGATCGATGACGTCGGCCTTCTCCATGACTCCTGCGATGCCCGTGACGATCACGATGCCTAGAACTAAAAGAGAATAGTGAAAGAAAAATAAAACCTCTATGAATGGAATCCTGCTTACATAAAATAATAATAACTGGACCAATACGAGTTACCTGACAGCCATTCTTAACGAGACCGACAAACTACGATTGCACTGTAGTGGAGAGCTCAGGCGCAAATAACACACATATATATGCATACTTTACTAACTTTAAATGTAATTTAAGGTACCTTCATTTACGATGAGACGTCTCCAAAATTGGAACGAAAGAGAAGGGGTATGACATCCTAACAATAAATAGAATGGATACTAGCAGAAATACCTGAACACTGAAAACGGCGATATCAACACATTATAACCACCATCCTGCTCACTGCAAGTCTGCCATATATTTTGAAGGGAATAATGAGTCAAACACAACTTACCCTCCATCTCTACTGCAGTCACGACTTCGATGATGATCACGATGACGAGAGGTCGATTTTCCTCGCTCTCTTTCGTTCTCTCTCAGTTTCTTCTCTCCATATTCCCTTACGTAATCACGAATTTTTGCATAGCCGAGGTGCATTTTTCCAGCCAAATGTTCTTCTACTCTTTGCGGGGCATCATCCTTTATTCTAAAGGCTCCGCAGATTTCGCATACCTCAAGTTCCTTTACCTTAGTTAGTTAGTTATTCCCAAAATGAGAAATTTACCTGACCAGCACCCGGTCTAGTATCCCCTTCAAGCTGTGACCTTTCAAACTTTAGTTGTTCACAGAGTTTGAGCACACCCTGTGCTTGGTCAACATTGCCTTCCGAGCCCAATTGCTCAGCTTGCTCAACAAGATCATTAATTCTCCTTGTCAAGGAGGCAATTTTATCAGCTTTCTCAGCAGCTCCATCTGGATCCGCGGGAAGACTAGTTTTGCTAACCTGGAGACGTTCATGTCCGCGCCGAATACGTTTATCAACGTCATCAAGAAGATAAATAAGATAATCATAAAAATCGGTTTCATAGCCCATCTTTTCAAACCGGCTGCTTTTGCGGTAATTTTCTCGCAGGCGTTCATCGTGAGTCTTATCACAAGGACCAAGATCGGTCTTTGTGTTTACAAAGAGATCATGAGGACAGAAACCGCAAAGGAAATATTTGCAAGTATCTTCGTCCGACCAGTGTGGACCTTTGTTCCGGTCGCTTGCCAAAGCATCGCGATTTTTACCAAGCAATTCGTCCAGAAGAGCAGCCTGAGATGCGATCGCCATAACGCTAGCGCCAACGAATTTACGCAAAATCCGCCAAACAATACATTGGCACATGCAATAAAACAAAAACCAAAATCAATTTATATTAGTATCCTGAAATATCAATTAAAAAACAGTCAGAACAAAAAAGTGCTAAGCTAATCCAAAGATGGTTTATAAAATACAATGAATTAAATAGTTATTAAACGAATTTATTTTTATACAATTACGGTAATTAACTTTCGTAGTTCTTGGGAACAGTGGCACATGCAATTGTACATATCAATAAGCCATTTGAATCTTCATGTTATAAACCCCAAAATACAAATTCTTATTTATAACAATCGAAATCTATAAATTATTATTTTTCTAAAGATAAAGATCATCAAATTATATATGGCAAGCAAAAAAAACCCTATTTTGAAAGAATATTGTCAAAAACGATATTAAATAACAGGGAATTATTAAGAACTTAGGAAAAAGTAAATAAATAAAGATAATGTGCTTTTTTATTAAAAAAATTGAATATCTCTATATGGCTACTTGCTAAGTTTTTGAAAAGTAATGGTCCATTTACATTGTACTCGAGCTTTTCATTTATCGAAGTTGAAGTTTCCCAAAGAAAAGAAAAAATTCATAGTAAAGTGAATTGTTATATTTTTACCAATATGTAGAAAAAATAATAATTTAAGCTTCAAAGATTAGTCAATTTTTTAAAGGAAGATTTAAATATTTAATAAGCTACTTTTGTTTGAGTCAATGGTTATTGCGCTCACTACAGTTTGTTGACCGTGTGCTATCTCTCGTAATGGCCTCTCACCTTAACTGGATGCTTATTAAAAATACCCATTGCTATCTAATGAAACGAAATGGGGAACAATTTAGCCGTGATCCTCTCAACTTAAAGGGCAAAAATTGTTTTAAATACTGTGGCCTTGTCCACAAGAAGGCTATGGGTATTAAGCAAGAAAAGGGAGGTAAAGGCGTTTATTTCCTTACCAAAAAGGCCGGCTATGATCACAAACCCAGGCAAGCTATTGTGCGAACAAATTTCGTTCGGGGGAATCGCCGAACCCTTCAGAAGATCCGTAATTTCGTCGTTGGGAACAAGTACCGTCGTGAGCTTAAAATGGTAAGTTAAGGATTTTATCGTTTATTGTATTTTTAAGCTTGCTCTACGTCGTGCCAGCGCAGTTCTTCAAAGCAACAAAAGAAAGCCCGCCCCCGTGGAGAAGGAAAAGAAGGAGTAATTTGTGTGTGCCCTAAAATTTATCCACCTTAATAAAATTACTTGGTTTACTATCCTTCATGCTTTATTTTATTAAAGGTCAGTTCTTTGATTAATATGATCGGAAAATTTTTCTCGCTCGCCTGCTTCTAAAATTTTTGTTATGCATGATGATATGTCGCTTTTATAGAGAATTTATTAAGTCAAGGCTGGATACGGAAAAATATGCAGCATTCATTCATTTTATTGTGAGAATAAATGGGTCAAGTAATGATTATTGTTAGAATGATAAAGATCAGTTTTTTCTGGCTTCGAAGGATATCGTTAGCTAATTTCTTTTCGTTCTCATTTTGTTCGAGAGCGGTTTCGTTGCCCATATTAGATAACTGATACTCGACGCTGCTTGCAAGAGCTTGTCAACGTGATTTGATGTTGACGTACTATATACCTTGAATGGCAACTTGCATGCTGTTGTGTTTGTCGTTTTCTCAAAAGTCAGTTTTAATTACTGTTGTTCTCCTCGGAGCATAGTAAGCACCAACTTTTTGTTCAACTACTCACTATTGATTATCTCTAGTGATAACGTCATCCTACTTAACATGAATTGTTTTCCCAAAGAAGAATTAGCTTGGCTTATTTATTCGATCACTTTGTAAAGCTCTTCATTTATTTGTCCCCACAGTACATCTTCCTCCTAGAAATCAGTTTTTCCATAAGTTCTATCAAGTGTTATTGAGGTAATAATTAAGCGTATCTTATACCTTAGCCGCTATAATACGTCCGTGATAGCTCGAAAATGATAACCATCTTGCAGAAATATTAACCTTATAGCGTGTCATTCAAATGCTTCAATTATGGCAATTTAGGGTGTACTTAGCCAGCATCGATCCCTTTGATCTTTTATTTTTTATTTCAAATGGCAGGCGTTATGATAGGTATCATTAGCCCTTTAGTTGACTTCGGGCTTCACAGAAAGGAAGATGAACATCAAAGTGGCAAAAAGTCGAGAGGGGGACAGAACAATGTTTCACAGATGTAAAAGAGATAGACAGGCAGACACAAAGGTAGAGAAAAGGTGAGTACTGTGGAATTAGTCGAATATGAAATGCGGTGGGGTCATGGTGGTTTGAAGTCAGAAGTCAACTGCCGGTTAATAGACTTTTTTGCCGTATGGTGGGTATACGTTGCCCAGGATGCACCACGTGGAGGTAAG